ATATAAAACGTATGTTGTTGCGTGATAGTTAGTAAGCTAAATTCGTACTCAATTGCACAAGGGTTCGATCCTCACAGGAAAATCTACTAAAATGACCTTGTACCACAGTAAGCTAAGCATTGTATTGTCTTGGTTTGCATCATCTTACTTATAAAACGCAGATTTTGTGTGTGTGTGTGTATGTGTGTGTGTCTGTTCGTTTATATATGGGATCGTATTTCCTACATTTTTCAACCGATTTCAACAAAACTTCACAGGACTACGTAAAATTACACGGCGGTGGTTCCAACAGCGCCAAAAAATTGGAAAAACACAATTGTTTTTGCACGAAACCAATTTGAAAGCACGGGTAGGGGTATCGCACCCGGCCAGAAGTTACTGCCGGCTACTCAAACGTCCGAATGCCGTTAACTTCCGGTGACTCAGCGTTACTTTTTTTCAGAAAACGATACACAAAAAGTAAAACAAATGAAACCTAAACATACACAAGTCCTCCTAACTAAAAATAATAACCGGAAACTACTTTAAATACACATGGTGTCCAAATGAAACCCATGTGTACAGTCAAAATGCGGAAGTTAATTTTTAGTCATCAACCAAAAGATATCGCCAACCGGCAACGATGTTAACCGCAGCCGACATAAACACAGCCGATTTCTTCCACCAAATAACTTGGCTAACTCCCCCTCTCACCTTCACCTGGTCGACCCTCGTCGCTGACCACACGAAGCAGCCAAACCTAGCAGCAGCCACCAAAGAATCCATCCTCTCCCAGTCTTGTTGCCGACTTCAGTATCAGCAGCGGGCCAAGCCAACCTCAGCAGCAGCAGGCCGAACCAACTTTAGCAGCAGCAGCAGCAGCAGCGGGCCAAGCCAACCTCAGTAGCGGGCCAAGGCAGCAGCAGCAGCCGAACATTATATATGATAGTCCCTTTAAGGACTACCTAAGCCACATGATATGCGATGGTTCTTTTTAGGGACTACCTGGCTACGTTATATGCGATAGTCTTTTTAAGGACTACCTAGCAACATTATATGCGATAGTCCTTTTAAGGACTACCTAGCCACATGATGTGCCGATGGTCTTTCTAGGGACTAACTAACCGTCATACATGTGATAGTCATTCTAAGGACTACCAAGCTGCGTCTTACACGGCTGTCATTCTAAGGACGAACAGGCTACCCCAGAACTGTCTATCGCCGATCCTCTCTCTTCAAAAACGCCGACGCGCTCTTTTTAAAGGGCGGACATCCGGGGATCGACTGGATCTCGAATACCGCTGTTCCATTTGCCTGCCTCCGAGCTGCTGCCTTGAACCCAAAAACGATCTTTCGACTGGCACACCCTGACTTCACTATCGAACTACACCAAACAATTCCTGTACATACATTTTTTCCAGATCGACAAATAAACCCGACGTTTGTTATTCTAAACCTCTGCCTTTGTTCCTCATTGTCTTAGCTGTTCACACCTTTCTTCGTAAAGCTTAAGAGGGGCGACATCCTTATCGGCCCCGGCACAGATTTACTAGAATTTTCTGTCAATATATATATATATATATATATATATGTTGAAGCAAGTTTAATTGAAATTTAGATAAGTTTAGTCTGCTTATTTTCAATAGGATCCGTTCATATTCTCGGATAAACTTTTTGGTGTTGGTATTAAAAGAAGAGAGAAAATTATCGTGTTTATATTGTCTTATTTCGAGTACTTTCGACATTAACATAATGTCATTTTCAGGGTGTGTTTTTAAAACAAAAATGTGGTGTTCATTATTTCCAAAATCAAAATTGTTATGTTCATCCGAAATTTATAATTTCACGTGTGGAGTGAGGACCGCTAATTTTTATGCCCTGCGGTGTATGTTTACATTCTAGGGGAGGTAACTAATTATGATGTGCGAAGAGTTCTTTTTGCAAAAGAAGAAAATAGTATGAAAAATTATTAATATAGACCTTAATATTTTACTCTATGTATTGTAAAAATTTGTGCAGTATTCATAATTAATTTTGTTAAGGTTTGCTTTCAAGTTTTTACTATAGGCAGCTTCAATGCTTTTTAATTTATGTTTATTATTTTCATGAAAATGTATAGATGTATTTTCGACAAGATTTTTTCTAAATTACGAATGGGGACAAGCATGCTGTTGTAAATGTTTCGAGATGTTAAACATCACATTCCAAATGAAAACTCAACCGCCGAGATAACGTGGTCGTAGTATGGCCAGCATAAATAGTATTTTTTCTGTTGGAGATACAATCTATCAGATGACATTTAAATTTATGTACAATGTTGGTTTTCTGCAACACATTAGTTGGTGAGGAAGAGTCATCACCAATGGTTAAATAGAATATACTGGATTTAATGTAATATGTAATTAATTTAATTGTTTCACTAACATATATGATGGATATGTTGGTATTTATTAATTTTTTTAGAATATTTTCGTCTTGTTTTTAATTAGAATGCATCTGGTTACGATATAGATGATTAATATGTTTGGGTTAGTTGAAGCAGTATTATATTCAATTTCCTTCATATTAGCATTAATGATAAAATATGTTTGTTCATTAACAATATAATTAAGAAAGTTATTATTAATAAGAGTTGTTTTATGTGTTTTTTTTCGTTCACCGTAGAATTGTTTTGTGGAAGAATTAGTTTTTGCACAGTTTATTAGGTTTTTTGATAATTGCTATTTTATAATAATTTGGACATTCCCACTTATAGTTAAGGGCGCACGAATTTATGCTAGTTGTTTTTTTTTTATATGGGAAATAGTGAATTTATTATGATTAGTGTTTATCAATATAACTAGAAAAGGAATTTTATTAATATTATTAAGTTCGCATGTAAATTTATGGACAGAATTATTTTGGAATTATTTTTTGTTGATGTATTTCGTCCATATTCTTGACTAATATAAGGATATCATCAACATATCTTAGGTAGATGGAGTTTTTTTTTTTATTGTTAAATGTATTACTTTCGAGATTAGTCATGAAGAATTTGCTAAAAGTCGGACCCAAAACTGAACCCATTGAGCCGCCATCCCTTTTTATATTTATATTATTTTTATGATCGAAGAATGATACTTCGGTAGTGCAAGTTAGCAGGAGTTTTCGTAAAATGTTAGGTTTGATTTTAAGTGAAGGTAGAGATGGATTATCGTATACGTTCCTTATAATTATGTCAATAGTTTCGGTAACAGAGAGTTTGGCGACTAAATTTTCGACGTCAATGGAGACTATGATTTCATTATTAGGTTTTTCGTTTTTTAGAATTTGTCTTAGCGAATTTACTCTATATCTATTAGGAATGTATGGTCTAATGAGTTGGTTTATTAACTCATCATTATCTATTGAAAATAAGCAGACAAAACTTGTCGAGATTATTCAATGAAACTTGCCTCAATGAAAACCTGCTGCCCAAATACACACAATACATATATTCAGATGCATCAGTGGCGGTCTTCAGTGATACACTGTCTTCATCGTCGATTTCGGGTTTTGTATCATATCGGCACAAACAGCAACCCCGACCTGATTCCAAAAGGGTCAGGCCGCCTCCTTGATAGAGTCGTGCTACGCACCTCGACATTGCAAAAAAAATCAGATATAACAGATAATCGATCATTTTCCATTTTACAAAAAAGATGAAAATCTCACTTTGAAATTTTTTTAAAAGTCAATTATCATTTTTTTCAAAACTTATTTTAAGAAAATCAAATTATGTTTATTTAATATATTTTGAACCAAACCTAACTTAGCTTCTAAAAGATGTAATTTGAAAATAAAACAAAGCAGGTCATAAACTTTCGCGTCACTTGACAGGTGATGAATGACATATTGACGGATTACATGATGATAATTCCTTCTACAGAAGGAAGGAAAGTGAAGTTATTTACATTTAAGTGAACAAATTAGTTTATTAATAAAATTTTCAGGAAATTAGTTTACTCAAGTCAAGTAGCTTTCTAATATTGATTGATGTTTCCTTCCAAACCTTTTTTAGTTGTTTAGAAAGATAATAGTTATATCATTATGTCATCTTCTAGAGGATGTACTAAATATTTTTATTGCTGTTACCGTTGAAAGTGTTCAAGTGACTATTTAGTAAAGATATGTGTTTGTGATTTTGTAGCATCACCCTGTCGATTCTTATGTTTTCTTCAAAATTAACTCATGCGAATCTATTTTAACCTTAAATCTGTGAAGGCAATTGTATATAGATGATAGTTTAGATATTTTTGAAAAGGATTACGAATCTATTTATTACCCCGAAAGCAACATATCTTTTGTTTAAATTTATTATCTCTTGTTAGAAAAAAGGCATATACTGTGGTATTTATCAATTCAGAATTCTGATTTTTTTTTATTATGGATTCGATACTCTATAAGACCAGATCAGGTTTTCTGTTTTAGAAAGATTTATCAAAATGGTTGGAACTCTTGAAATTGGCTTATTCGATGCTTAATAACGAATTTAAATACTTTTTACGATGAACAGTATTCAATTTCAAGTCGTTACAAATGTCAGAATTCAGAGTAAAACGTCTTCGTTTACTCATCTGGTATTTTTAGATTCCTACTTTAAATCTTACGCTCAGTCATAATCTGGCTCTAGAAAATGTAAATATGTGCCAAACTTATTGAAAGTCTCCGTTACATATTTATTCTCATCGACAAAACAACCGACCTTAATAGAATTATTAATGCACGCATACACTGAGCGAATATTACATTTTAAAGGTTAAGACAATAAAAATGAAGGGAGTGCACTTGCTTATTTTTTCCTGTCTTCTTTCAAAATGGGCCAGTATATTTCAGTAAAACATTTTACTTCTCAAAATGTACATCACTGGCTATTTCACCTTTTCTCTGTTCTTTTGACGATCTAATGTATTTCATTACGAGACACCATGGAGACAAAACGACTAACGACTACAAAAACCATAGAATACTCTTGTGACTCTGGTATTAAAACATTTTCTTTAATGACTACAATTCCTCTCCATTTTTCTACACATGAACGCTCTCTCTCTCTCTCTCTCTATCTATCTATCTATCTATTTCTTTCTATCTATCTATCTATTTCTTTCTATCTCTCTTGCTGTCTAACATATTTTTCTTTAAGTGTTTATGAAATATTTCTCACCCATCTCGTTTTCGCTTTCTCTCTCTCTCTCTCTCTCTCTCTCTCTCTCTCTCTCTCTATCTATCTATCTATCTATCTATCTCTGTTTCTCTCTTCTCTATTCTTTCTGTCAATCCCTCTATTATCGCATGCCATTTCCCATAAACTTTTCTCTCTTTTGTTTCTTTTTTATTTACTTATTGTTATTAAATTTTGTCTTCATGATATTCTATTCTTCCTTTTTGTGTCAACTTTTCACTGAGTCTGTGCGTGCGTGCGTGCGCATGCGTGCGTGGGGGTGCGTATGTGTGTGTGTGCGCGCGCATGAGCGTGTGTATGGCTTTCTCTCTTTTTTTGCTTTTTTGCTTTTGCTTCTCTCAGGAAACAATCCAAGAAATCAAATTTCGTAAATGCACTCGGAAGCCAAGCACACGGCCGAAAATCAATTTCTGATAGAATCAATCATCCATAGAGATTGCAGCTTAACAGGTGAATTCTAGAATCTTATGTCCATCTCTCAATCAATGAATCACTCATTCATCTATCTATCTATCTATCTATCTATCTATCTATCTATCTATCTATCTTGTGGAGACTCAATGTTCATATTCATTTTTAAGGCTGCTTAAATTTACCGTGACTACCCTAACTAAATTCGCTAAAAGTTTCTACCAATTCAAAATAAATTAATACAATACTGTTCAATAATAGTTTAGTAGACTATTATTTTTTAGAGAATTGTATTTCTACTCTGATTTCCTCATTTTGGCCTTTGAGGTCAGATACAGAAAAAAAAAACAAAGGAAGTCGATTGGTTAAAACTAGCTTGAGAATGTTAGATATAGAAAGGGATTTCCGAAAGTTAAGTCGTACACGTCATACAATGTAGACGTGGTACTTTTGCCTCTTGGAACTTCCTTCCCAGTTGGGATGAGTGAGCGACCCCACTGGAAAGTTAAAAATGTTCACGTCGACGTGGTGAATAAAATAATAGTTAAGTTAAAATTCTTTTGTTGAATTTCTTTTTTATCTCTAACTGGCGAATTGACAGCCGAAAAAAAAGGCAACGTTATTATGGAATCGACACCGTCACCCTAAAATTAGCCCAACCCCAGAATAAGGGGCTATTCAACATTGTAATAATTGATGCAGTGACCAAGAGACCACCCCAAAACGAGGTGAGGTGAATACAATATAGACACAACAATATGTACATAGATGGACAAAATAGAAATAACGATAATTTTATATACAGGGTTCAAACAAAACAATTGGGATACAAAAAAGGAAATTAAATTAGTGTGATTTAAAGTTAGTTGATAAAGAAAAGTTTCGTTGGTAATGAATATTCCTTTCAAATGTCTGAGTCCAAATAAAAGTGTGCATGTATGTGTGTGAAAAGAGAGATGAGATTTACATATATAAATAGAGGGGGATATTTGCATACACTGTGTGAGAGAAGCCATCGAACTTTCGCCACTTTGCACTGCCCGACCTAATTACTATGTCAACAAATTCAAGAACCGAAGCTAGATTATTGTACTATGGGACAATCCTATGTGTAGAACTGCTGATGAGACTGTTGTTTGCCACTCACAGTGTCTTCTCTTTTTTAATGCCACCGCTATTGTTATTGAAGTTTTCTTGTTATTTCTCCTTCATTCGTTATTAACGACACCTGCATCGTATTTATTTCTATGCTAGGCCTACTAAAGAGATCCTCATAGACTAGCATATGCGCTTATACTTTTAGACGTCCAGTGTCTAGCATTTTGACTTTATTCAACAGAAGCTGATGACTATACTTTTCCTGCCATACATGATGAGCCATGTCTAATTCTTGCCCCTGATTACGGCTTTTCGATTTTCTCCCAGCCTATTAGGCGTTGTGTTTCAACTTTATTATTTTTATTTATATTCTAAGTTGTGCATAGATTTATATATATATATATATATATATATATATATATATATATATATATGAATAAAAGAGACAAATGTATAACGGTTCTTAGCCGACACGTTTCGTCCTATGAGGGACTTTATCAAAGTAATGTAGGATTTATTTTGCTGTACGTGTTTATATACAAAAGCAGTGATGTCATTGGTTTATCAAGGCTTTTAAATTTGAGAACGTTTATGAATGTTCCTCGGGTGATTGGAAGGACAATCAAAACATGTGGAGGATACAAAGTGTCATAATTCAAAGTCTAACAAAAAGTAAACGAGTAATATTCAAGAATTATTTTAAATGAATATTGTTTACATTGTGATTAGATTGTTTAAGATGAACGTTTCTGCTGTACATCTTCAAAAACATGAAGTGATTGATGTAACCGTTTTCTTTTGATTTTTTTCAACACGCATGAGTCCATATTTGCATCCGACCATGAGAGCATAAAAATAAGAGAAATTGGTGTTGTTTGTTTTTTTAACAGTAACAATAATGTTCATAATAACAAAAGTAATTCATTTCGTTTAAAAACATTTCAAAATTACATTACTTCGCGTCCTACATAGTTTCAATCTATAACATCGTGTGATTTTCGAATATATTATAGAATCTTCTCTAATATAAAATTGAACACAACAATATTTTTCCCCACTTTTAATCATTTCTGTGTATATAGATATAGGTTTTTCTCAATAAAATTCAATGTATATCTTACACAAGGAACGAAACGCTTTGCAAAAATAGGTTTTCCTCATATATATATATATATATATATATATATATATATATATATATATAAAAATTAATTGATTTAAAATATGTTTTTTTCGCTACACAGTTCTAACCATTCTATAAGAACACCGTATTATATATCTTACTGTTCTTTCTTTTTTACACACACACACACACACACACACACACACACACATATATATATATATATATATATATATATATATATTTGCATATTTAGATCATTCCTATGAATGTTTATAACGTCAGTTCCTTACCCACCTCAGTAACGCAGCTTCCCTGTGCCTTTTCTATAAATACTCTTATGATAATTGTTCTGTTGAATTTTCTTCTATGATACCTAGATTTTATGATTTCAAGCGTAGTACTAGATTGGCAGTAAGGTCTCATCATTTTACAGTTGAAACGGCTAGATTTAACCGTAGGTTTTTATGTTACCTATTTCTTCTATTACATTTCTCACCCGTGAGACTTTCTTTCGGCTCCTTGCTTTCCAGTCAATTGTGAGCTTTAAAATTATAAATGAAATATCAGTCGTTGTCTTCTGTCTTCTTAATTTCTGCTCTTTTATTGTTTTCTCTCCTTAATGTTTTTTTTTTCATATTATCTAACACTCATTAGCCTCTTGCATCTTAGTGGTTTATTGATTTATTTGAGGTAAAATGATTTTTAAAATGTATCTCTTGTAGTTATCAACTATAAAAAATCCTAGAGAGGCAAAGACGAAACTTTATCAATCAGATTTGAATTTGACACGCAGATGACACAGCGTTGATAGCAGTCACAGAATGGAAACTACAGGAACTCCTTCAAAAGAGTGTAAAGGAAAGCAAGAAGAAAGGACTAAACATCAATACTAATAAAACAGAATGTACGATTGCCAGCAAAAAGAAACATCCCAACATGCGAAATACAAACTGGAGATATCAAAATCCAGCAAGTACAAAAAATTAAATATCTACGAAGTGTTTCATCACAAAAGGGAAAATGTGACACTGAAATCCTAAGGTGCGTTCGGATAGATGGCTTCCAAAAGCTAAGCAAAGTATTAAGAAAGAGGAAATTTTCGTTATAAACCAAAAAAAGAGTACTGAAATACTATGTCATATCAATCGTCCAATATAGCAGTGAATACTGGACCATCTCATCAGTGATGGAGACGAGATACAGGGAACAGATATGTGGTTCTACAGAAGGATACTGAGGATAAAATGAACTGAAGATGTAAGCAACGATAGGGGATTAGAGAAAATGGAAGGAAAAAGGACACTTAAGGGTTATAGCATTTAACATTCACAGAACATATTGAAAACGAGAGAACAGATAGAAATCGACGCATGACCTACTTGAAGTACTTGGGTAAATGATTGACAGAACAGGGATTGGGAATGATAGCAAAAAGACAAACTTTACTAAGAGCTACAAAAGACAGGAAAGTGAGGAGAGCTATTATTGGTTACATCCTTTATAGACAGGCAACATAGAAAAATAACTTAAAATATATACAAATGCTATAACATAATCCACGAAGATACTAGCGTTCCAGAAACACTTCATACATAAAATTTTCACTACTCAGCTAAACAATTTCACTGATAATTTTGCCTTATCGAAAACCACACTGTCAAAGTTTCAGCCGTAAGACTTACAGCTAGTTAATGACATTTAAATCTAAAAAATAGAAATGATGAGACATCACTTACATTTGACTGAATCCTCCCAGCCCGTTTCAGACACGCCTTCTTGACGTGCACCGACAATTCTGATTTAATTCATTTCTTCAATACACTGGTATCATTTTGGTGCATTTTTGAACGATAAAGCGTAATAGAAATGTAACTCCTTCGCCAAATAATATTGCTGCTATATCATTACTGAGAATCACTATCGACTCTATGCTGTGACCTGGTGCTAAACTAAATTAAACATAGACTATTAACAGGAGAGGCATAACGGGAAAATGGTTTCGAAAATGTTCCGCTTTCAAAATTTTAAATATCACTTCTTGCTGGTGTTTATATGAACTTACCGGATATATATATATATATATATATATATATATATATATATATATATATATATATTAAGCGTTTCACCCCAAGCAAGGCGAGAAGACACTAGGACGCAAGGTGTTACAGAAGATTTGGAGCAAGATCAGATAGGAAGTGATAGAGGAAAGGATGAGGAGAAGGATAGTGGACAGATCAAGGCAACTGGAGATGTCGATTGACATTACATTTGAATAGTTGTAGATTATAGCTCTCAGGAAAACTGGAATAGGGAAGGGAGTTCCACGGGCGAGAGGTGCGAGACATGAAACCATTGGTGTAGAAGAGACGGCTACATTTAGGAGTTTCGACAGTGAAAGGGTGAGAGCTGGATGCCAGCCTCGTAGGGCGATTGAACTCATGAAGTCTGGGATAATTGCCATGAAAGTATTTGTAAAAAAAGACAGAGAGAGGCGATGGCGCGTCTGTGAGAAAGTGACTGTAGACGAGATGCCAGAACAGGGCCAATTATATTGCATATCTGCCTCTGGAGCCTATCAAGAACCCCGAGGCAAACAGAAGGGTCCCCAGGCCATATATGGCAGCAATACTCCATGCAAGGGCGAATTGTTGATTTGTAGATCTGGAGGATCGATTCCGGGGAGAAAAACTTCCTGGCGCGGCACAGGGAGCCAACTTTCCTTGCGGCACACGAAGCAATTGACTCAATATATTTGTTCCATCTCAGGTCAGTAGTCGACGTGAGACCGAGCAGCCGCAGAAGAGTTGCTCTCGAGAAGTTGAGCGTCATACATTCTAATGGAGGGCAGGGAAGGATCTCTGTGGTGTTTAATAGAGAGCAGTTTTGTTTTTGATGCATTAAAGTTAACCAGTCAATTCCTGCCCCAGTTCACAACCGATTGGAGGTCCTTTT